GGAGGACCATAGCACGGACAACTAAAGATGGTCCACTGAAGATGTTCATGGACGACTGGAGGAATGCCGAAAAGACGGAAAAGGTCTTTGAGGACGAGAGCCGATGGGCCGGGCGGACGATCTTCCAGCTAGAGGGCCCGGAGGAGGAAGAGCATCTGGAATTGAAGCGCCAAGGTTTTCCAGTGGCGCGATTGCATAGCGACAGGGGCAAGGAGTTCATGAACCATGCCTTGCGCCGGTGGTGCTTCAACCGGGACATCGCGAAGACAAGTACGGCGGCAGACGATTGGAGATCAAACGGGCGAGCAGAAGTGGCCATCAAGGACTTGAAGTCAAGAATGAGGAGAGTGCTCTTTGCAGCCGAGGTGGATGGACAGTGGTGGCCAGCTGCAGCTCGGTATGTGGTGGAGAAGGAGAAGAGAACAAGGCAGAGAAAAGAGGGCACGATACCCAGATTCTGCCAGGAGGTAATGGTGAAGAAAAGGAAGTGGAAGTCAGAGGAGCTGGGCCCAAGGCACGTCAAGGGGAAGTATTTGGCCCCGGTGGTGGACGTACCGAACGGTCACGCCGTGATGAGAGAGGATGGAACAGTCCAGGTGGCTGCTTATGTGCTGCACCACTGGAAACCTCTCCCGGAGCCAGTGGACGGGTGGCAATTCGTGGAAAGGAGAGGTGATGAGGGAGAAGAGCGCGAGCCGGAGGAACCCTATCGTGTCCGGAGGAGGATAAGAGATAAGACCCAGAAGAAGGTGTTGGAAGACGAAGGGGTTCTGGTGAGGTTGCGGGCGCTCAGATCCACAATAGAGGAGGAAGAGAAGGCGGTGACGAACGACGAGCCGGAGGTGATGGACGTTGTGGTGAAAGCCCTAGAAGGTTTGAAGAAGGAAGAAGAGGAGTTGAGGAGCAGCACAGAGCTGGAAAAAGACGAGGAGCAGATACTCCAGACCAAGATCGTCAGTGCCAAGGAGGTGGAGATGAACCTGGAGGATTGGAAAGCACCCATGAAGAAGGAGCTGGACACCATCGTGGAAGAAAAGGGTGCAATCACCAGGCTCAACCCGGCATCGGCGAGGGAGCTGCTGGAGAACAACCCACGGGTGCAAGTACTGCCCGGGAAGGGGGTGTTTACAATCAAACCAGGAAGGAAGCGTAAGTGCCGACTGGTGGTGTGCGGCAACTACGGGGAGTCTCACGAGGCCATGCCGCTCTTCGCGGGGGGCACGGACGTGGTGGCTTTGCGGTTGGCGTTGAAGGAGGCGGCGGTTCGCGGGTGGCAAGGAGGCACTGTGGACGTGAAAGGAGCCTTCCTGAATGCCCCGCTGCAGGCAGTTGACCAGGAGGGAGAGCTGACGGTGGCCATGCGACCGCCGGCAGTACTGGTGTGGATCGTCAACAAGGCAATGTACGGCCTACGGCAGAGTCCGAGGTGCTGGTCGGATTACCGGGACGACGAGATGAGGAGGTGGAGAATCAGCTATGGCAAGCGTTGGCTGAAGTTGGAGCAGATGAGGAGCGAACCGAATCTGTGGCTGGTGAAGAAGGTAGAGGACGACTTGAATCCGGAGGAGCTGGTCGGCCTACTACCAGTCTACGTGGACGACTTCATGCCGTTAGGCGTGGAAGGAGTGCCTCAAGCCCTCATGGAGAAGATCAAGGGCACGTGGGAATCATCAGAGGAGAGCTGGTTCGGCAAGGAGCCGGTGAGGTTCTGCGGGGTGAACATCTCTGTGACGGAGCAGGGGATCACCTTGGACCAGATGGATTACATCAAGGAGATCATCGATCGGAACAATGTCACCGGCAAGTCGGTGATCCCCATGAGCAAGGAGTGCAGCGAGCCAGAGGCAGAGATCGGGATCACGGCGGAGGAGATTCAGACGGGTCAGCGCCTGGTGGGCGAGTTGATTTGGCTGGTCACCCGGAGCAGACCTGATCTGGCCTACGTGGTTTCGAGAATGTCGAGCTTCGTGTCCAAGGCTCCACGATGGGTGCAGAGAACCGCGACCCAAACACTGCGGTACCTCAACGCGACCAAGACGGAGGGCATCCTGCTGGACAAGGACATGGGGGAGGACACACATGGAAGAAAGAGTAGAGGAGCGGGCTTGGAGGTGATCACGGATGCGAGCTTCGCGCCGGGCGGCGAGATTAGCCATGGCTGTGTAATGGTCAATTGGCAGGGATCAATGCTGGCGTGGAGATCTTCGAGGCAAAGCTTCCCTACGTTGTCGACAGCCGAGTCCGAGCTGATGGAGATGATAGAGGGAATGGTGCTTGGGGACTCGGTAGACGCGTTGATCCAGGAGATCAAGACGGAGATGGACTATTCGCGGACGTTGATCGGGGACAAACAAGCGGCGGTCTCGCTGTGCACAGGAGACGCTGGATCATGGCGGACGCGTCATCTTCGTCTGAGAGCGTTCTATGTGAGATGGAGAGTGCAGATGGGGGACTGGCGGATAGTGCATCGGATGGGCGCCAATCTGGTCGCCGACATGGGCACGAAGTGTCTGCCGGGAACTCGCCTACGTGGTCTGCGCAAGATGGCAGGTTTGGTGGAAATTGGAGCACCAAAGCCAGAAGAAGGAGGAGCCCTGGAGGTGGACCTGGAAAAGGGAAAGGCAGCGTTGGCCATTTTGGCATGCTGCATGCAAGTCCAGGCAGTGGCGGCGAAAGAGGAGAAAGTCGAGGAAGAAGATCAGGGAGACTACAACGCCTTGGTCGGCTTCGGCATCCTGGTGGCCCTCTTCACGGCTCTGGCAATCAAGGTGACGGCGATGGTGAAAGAGGCATGTGAGAAGAGAAGCAGAGGGGAACATGCGTCCATAAAGGCGATGCGAGGACACAACAAGATGCCGGCGGGTGACGACGAAGAGGAGTCGGAAGAAGAGGCTTCATCGTCGTCGAGAGCATCGGCATCAACTATAAGGAGAAGATCCACTACTACCGGAGGTGGCGGAGGGTCGGAAGCATTGGGTGCTAGATCAAAAGCAGCACCAGAGGCCAAGGGAGGCCGTTGGAGAAAGGAAAGGGTGGAATCGGCTCTGGAAAAGGAAAAGGGAAGCCGATCATCAATGCACCATGGGGGAGGGATTATGCAAGGAGACACCCTACTCCACCTTGGAGGAATGAGGACCAACCGCCAGCAGATGATCAAGAGCGGCCACTGGTCCAGATCGAGGAAGAGGCGCACAACGAAAGGTGGGATATTCCGGACGAAGAGCTGTTCTTCAATAAGAAGGACAGGATCGCACACCACACCAGAGAGTGCGCCGGAAGTCGAGCAGAGGCAAGGTATGTCTGCACATGGTGCTTCGCACAGGAGCTCCGGATGCAAGACGTAGAAGAGGAGCATTCGGTCCCCGTCATCGTGAGGGACTGGAAGCCGGTGCTCACCACAGACTACGGGGTCAGGTACCATTACTCCCTGAATTGCCCCACATTGGCGGCAACACGGAGGTGGGATGCCTTCGACCGGTGCCGGCGATGCGCCGGAGTCAGAGGGAGGGGGTACGCCAGGATCCCGGGGTGATGACCTACATCGAGGACGGCTTGAGTTGAGAGGTAGAACCGGTAGCGCAGGTGCAAGCCTAACGGATTGTACCTGGGAGGAGTGTGAACTAGAGGGGTTCATGTAAAGGCAACAAACCATGCACAATGGGAGCCGTTTTTGTGTCGAGGAAAAGACCGCTTCTGAATAGCGGCACCACAATTCCAATTCACCCAGATGGTTCCCGTGATTTAGCTGTCTTGAATTGTTTCAACATTTTGCCCGGCTGAAAGCTCTGGGCAAAGTTCCATGGCTCGGAGTGTATGAGATTGGATTCCGGGGTTCCGGAGAGGTTCTGGAGGGGTTCCGGGGGTGTTGGGGAACCTGGGCTCATGTCAAATGTGTGTTTCCGTTACTTTCGATCAGGCAGCCCTTATTTTGTGGTTGGGGGATTTGAACCGTTGGCTCTAGAGGGTAAATGGGGTTTCGCACCCCATCTCCAAACCGCGCCAAGCCAAATTATCGTTTAGAGGGAACCTGAAAATAGTTATTCGTGGTTGCCTCAAAATAGAATTGCCTCCAAAAGGCAACCGGTTTCCTTTGGTTTCCCCTTGCACCAACCCCGAAAACCGGCAATTACCGCTCAAAACTGAAGCAAGAACAAAACCCTTTTTGCAAAAAACGACACCACTCAACACGGAAGCACCTAGATCGCCAAGTTGCTGCTTTGTTCACTCACTGTTGCCGATTTTTGGGGTACAGTTCATGGAAAACAATCAGCACCTGGCGATCCAGGCAACAAACTGAAGCAAAAAACAACCCTTTTTGCGAAAACGCGACCACTCAAAACGGAAGCACCTAGATCGCCAAGTTGCTGCTTTGCTCACTTACTGTTGCTGGTTTTCGGGGTACAGTTCATGGAAAAACAATCAGCACCTGGCGATCCAGGCAACAAACTGAAGCAAGAAACAACCTTTTTGCGAAAGCGGCACCACTCAAAACGGAAGCGCCTAGATCGGCCAAGTTGCTGCTTTGTTCACTCACTGTTGCTGGTTTTTGGGGTACAGTTCATGGAACAAAACAGGCACCTGGCGATCCAGGCAACAAACTGAAGCAAGAACAAAACCCTTTTTGCAAAAAACGACACCACTCAACACGGAAGCACCTAGATCGCCAAGTTGCTGCTTTGTTCACTCACTGTTGCCGATTTTTGGGGTACAGTTCATGGAAAACAATCAGCACCTGGCGATCCAGGCAACAAACTGAAGCAAAAAACAACCCTTTTTGCGAAAACGCGACCACTCAAAACGGAAGCACCTAGATCGCCAAGTTGCTACTTTGTTCACTTACTGTTGCTGGTTTTTGGGGTACAGTTTATGGAAAAAGCACTCAGCACCTGGGGATCCAGGCAACTTTGAAGACCGGTAATTTCCACTCAACACTGCAGCAAGACCAAACCCTTTTTGCACAAAACGACGCCGCTCAAAACCGAAGCAACACACATTTTGAGGCACCCTGCAGAAGATGCGGCGCGGGCATTTGGCCACTCTGGGCCGCGGCTGCTGCGCCGCCTGGCACGCCATCTGCCAAGAGCAGCTCCAGGCCTGCGCTCGCGCGCGTGTGTTGGTCGGCTCGTCTTGTGTAGAGTTGGTGGCTCTTTTCTTTTTGGGGGCTGTTCTAAAGGGACACTTGAATGCAAGGCCACCATTTTGGGGGGGGGGGGGGTCCGAAAAAGGCCGGACACGGACTTCCAGAATCCAGGGTTGCTTGAGATGTACTACGTTCTCCTGTTGGTTTTACAGGGAATCCGTCACTGCTACACGAATCCTGTTTAAGTGGGCTCAGGGTGGTTTAAGGTAGGGCTTAAACACAACCATGACCGAAGCCATTTTTAAGCCCACCGTAAAGCAGCCCTAAACCCATCCGAGGCCAACCCCAAGAAGCCCCACCAAAAACCGGCACTAAACCTATCTCAGCACAGCCACCCCCAAATTTTCTCTCAATGGGCCTGGATCCCACCCGGAGCCAAGCCTGAGCCAACCTGGAACCCACCAACCAAAGCCTGGTGATGCTGAGGATGTGGAAAACGATGCTGAGGATGTTAAATCGATGCCAGGCCTGAACCTACCCTACACCCACCCCAAACTCTTGTCCGTTAATGTGAACTTTCGGGCACGCCAGGCTGTGCCAGGGTTAGGCTAATGCCAGGGCTACGCAAAGAAAAGCACCTCAGCCTTTCTTTGGACGCACGAGAGATATATCCCAGTTGGGCAAAGGGATGCGTCAAATCGGAATGATTGGACATCAAGAGAGTGTTCCACAGGTACTCATACTGTGATCTTGAACCCAGGGCTGCGGGAAACCCAAGACATGTGTCCGGCACGGGTGATTCAGTGACCTGTGTGACAGGGCGTCATCGGTTCAATCATGAGATCGCAGCTGCAAATATGAGAGCGACCTAAAGCAGACATGCTCTGGAAACTTGAAACCAAAGCAGGCGTTCCCTCGTTTTCCTACTTGCATGTGGCAGGGTCAGCAGGGAAACCACCGGGACCCACCCAGACTCAACGCGTGAGCCACGACCAAAACCCGGCATCAGGACAGTCCTAGCCAGAAATTGTGGTGGGCAAATCCTGCCTTTGTTGATTCTTTACTGCGGACTTTAGGCTGAGTTTTGCGGGTCTGTCCCAAAGAAAAGAAACCCAAAAATGGGTTTCGTCTTTGTGGGGGGGTTACCCAAACATAGGCTTCGGATTTCCTTTTACTTCCCTTTAGCCAAATCAAAAAAAGGCACCGAGCCTAAACACAGCCCCCTTCGCGGGGGTTTGGCAAGGCCAAAGCGCTGGCTGCTCAACGGCAACGAATATTGCGGCATGCCGTTTCTTGGCACAAGGTCTAAGTGATGCTTGTGGAGGGCAACCAGGTTTTCTCTTTGGTATCCTTTTGGTATTTATCCACGTAAGGTATCTCTTTTTTTTTAATATCCTGTTGGTTTCCCTTGAAGCGCACCCCTAAAAGGGGGCCAACAGAAGTTTTAGATGCGAGCAAATGAGTGACCACGTTGGGATCTCTTTTGGGTTCATGTTTTTCTCATTTTGGGGGTTCACTCACTTGCAGACTCCAAACGCCTTCTAAGGATTCCAACGGAATCAGGCGGAATCCGCGCCTTCGGGCACTTTTGGCGAAATCTGACAGAGTCAAGATGGAACCTGAACACAACATACAGATGACATCAGAAGCAATAAGAACCCGTAGATGTCCAGAATCAATGTAACGGTTGCTGCTGATTAGTAACCCCCGCCCCTCTTAAGGTTGTCCATGTTGAGGGCCCGCTAATTCTGTTTTTTTGGTTCTCCGGTTCTTGGCCAATAGGACAGCAAGAGGGAAGGACAAGGCAAATTGTGTTTTTCATTTTTGCTGTGCAGGAGAGGGCCATGAGTAGTCTGTTCGTTTTTGTGCCTGGGGGACTGGCCTTGAAGGGCACCCTTTGTGCGCTTGTCAATCCTTGCTTTGTTCTACGAAGTGTAGTACTGCAATGAGTTTGCTTTCTGGATAGCCTTTTTGTTTAGAGATTTGTTATGGGTATCCGTGCAACTTTCAACACAAGTAGCATTGGAATAATAATTTGCAGCTTTGTAATTTAGTCTTCTATGTTTCATTCCTGTCATTTTCTGTTGGCAGGGAGGAGAAGGCACTAAGCAGAGATTTGTTTTAGAGGTGAAACATATACAAGGGGCGGCGAAATTGTCCAACCTTGTCTGAAGTGGACAATACTTGTAGCAAGGGATTCAAGAGGGAGCAGGTTAGCATTTACTCGGGGATTTTTAATCAGGTCCCAGCATTGGGTGACAAAGTCAAGAAATATAGGCCAAAGGGCAGAGCAGGGAGAGAGAGAGCTCAACAGCCTGGCTGCCTAGCATATGAAGTAGAAGTACTAGAGGAGCACACAGGACAAACATATTGTTATCTCACAAATCAAAGAGCGACCGTTTTTGAGATTTGAGCTATTAGAGTCGAACAACTATGGTAACGTTTTGATTGACTCATGTTGGTCATGCAGCACATAGTCCATTTGATTCCCCATTCTTTTCAACAATCGTTCTTTTGAAAAATCGGCTGTTTCCCTTGAGTGTCTGATGGTTCCTGAAAAGAAGGATCCCTGGAAAGAATGGGGAAGGTACCCCTAGAATGTTGAAATGATTCCAACCCCTAGAAACATCGCGTCTGCACCCTGCAACGTTGCGCAGCCCTCTGTGTGAAAGCCTAGTGTGCGTCTGTCAACAAGCATTCGTTCCAACCGTTTTTTCAATCACGCCTCTGTTTGAGGCCTCGGGCGGTTTTTGGGCAACTAAAAACAACACCGGGCGGAGATTTCAGGCGGCGGATTCTGAAGGTCTCCCTCTGTTTGAGGCCTCGGGCGGTTTTTGGGCAACTAAACACAACACCGGGCGGAGATTTCAGGCGGCGGATTCTGAAGGTCTCCCTCTGTTTGAGGCCTCGGGCGGTTTTTGGGCAACTAAAACAACACCGGGCGGAGATTTCAGGCGGCGGATTCTGAAGGTCTCGGCCAATACACAAAATATATTGTTTGTATATATTCAGTTGGTATGTGTTTTCCACTTTGCTTTGGCGATGTTCAATTTTAGCCGATTGCCCAAACAGAAGTTCTTTGGCCAAAAGATCAGGGTTGGGAAGATGGCTGTTGCGCGCTAGTTTCGGGCTATTCACAAATTATTGTTTGGATGTCGGTATTGCCGGGGCATTCACCCTCCCTTAAGGGATGTGGTGTTGGTGTGCAGGCCTACCCGTTGATTCCATGATGTTCAACCCATCGAAGCGACGCATCTTCCCTTCAAAGAGTTTGGTTAGTGCCACAATCGAAGTCTGGATAGGTTACCTCTCTAGGATTATGTGATATTGTTAGGGTAGACGACATGGGGGTGTCTTTTCTAGGCGACCCCCAAACCGCTGCTTTGCCTTTTGGTTGTTCTTTAAAACCACAAAAAGGGGGTACCCTCAAGAAAAGACGCACCCAATCAGGATCTGAGCATATATATTTGTTTGTGCATCCTTGAGTGGGGGCAAGGTTAGTAGGGGCCCAACAATAAAAATGCGAGGAAAGCTTTTTGCCCTTTTGCTTGTTTACAGGATTTTGGCTCGGCTCTGACTCATTTGCCAGGGTGGAGCATGCGTCAAAGCTCTGCCAAGAACTTCCACCTAAGCCCTGGTCACCCCATGTGATGCCTTGCTTGCCTACCTCTGTTTCCAATTTATTGCAAGCCAAACATAAAACAAGGGTGATATATATATATATATTATTATTATTATTATTATTATTATTATTATTATTATTATTATTATTATTATTATTATTATTATTATTATTATTATTATTATTTTTATTTTTATTTTTATTTTTATTATTATTATTATTATTATTATTATTATTATTATTATTATTATTATTATTATTATTATTATTATTATTATTATATATATATATATGTATAGGTTGTTGCCTCCGGGGGCTCACGCATGATATTCCTTGGTCGAATAGCCTTGACTTGCCAGCTGAGGTGGAACTTGTGTGCCTCGATCAGCATGGGTGGGCACAGTTGACCTGAAAGTGTCACTCCCTGAAGAATCGTCAACGCAACAGCTTTTCAGTTGAACCCATCTTGAGCCAGGCTGCCAGCCACGAGCATGGCTGCTTTTTCAGGATTGCTAGTCTCACTCCCCATCGGTTGCTGGTCTAGGAACCCAAAAGCCCCCCCCCCCCCCCATTGTTTGTCCGACGTGGCGGCCAAGGTTGCGGGCCGAATTCATGCGCAGAGTCACGTCCCCGTTGCTGGTATCTTCCAGCTGTGTCTTTGTCAGATACTCCTCAACAAAAGCACAGCTTTTGTTGAACCAGTATCAAGGATACTCTTGTTGAGCCTTTTGCCGCCGTAGCCGGAACCAAAAGCCAACGCGTTGTGGATGCTGGCACTTACGTGGATGGCATTGTGTGTTTCTTCATGGGGCTGGATACCGCTCACTCTCGCTGTCTTGCTTGCTCGCTTTGACCCGCCTGTGACCTATTTATCCTCTTAAAGCAACCGCTAGCTTTGCCCACCAGGTCTCTACAAGAGGATAATCTCACTTGCCCAAAGCGAATCGACCGGATCTCACCTTTTGGTTTTCCCTCTCTGGGAAACCATTTTTTGTGGCAACCTAAAATTTAAAAGGTGCGAAAAGGTGATCGCCTTTCAGTTCTGTGAAGGTTCCTCCAGGGCCCGTCTCTCGGGTTCCTTGTCTCAGCGAAGCGATGCCGCCGAGGTGCTGCAGCAGACCGAGCACCGACCAAGCTCTCCTGAAGGCTGGGTTCTTGTGCAGGGCATAGGTGTCCGGTTTGGTTGTTTTGGTTAAAAATCGATGGCCCTGGTTTACCTGGTGGTTTAATCATCTACAGGGACACCCATCTATTTCCCCTAAAAGGACACCTATGGAGTTGTTTTTTCTTCTTTTTTTCTTTCGGGGCTTGCCGCGAAGCACCACCAAACCGCCGGGCTCCAGGGCCATCCCTCTCCGCCCATTTCACTGCGAGCTCCCCGATTCGGGGGGAAAAACGCGAGCTCACCACGACAACGGTCCTTGGCCTGCGGATGAATTCCGCCCTTGGAATTCTACGTAAAGATGGCAGATGGATTTACCTCTAGGTCCTACATGGCCCTTTTTTCTGGCTACCCACAGTGTCATAGTAAGATTATTGGATAAGATGCTGTTACAAGCAGTATGTATACAATATATGAAGCCATTTTAGCGTGGAGCTGAAATCAAACGTGGCTGATGTCCAATGAGTAAGCAACAACTAGTGGAAAATAACACATTTGCCACGGGTTCATAGGGGATGGTTTTCAGGTCAACCAGGACTCCCTCAGACATGGTCAGTGGACATCAATGTTGTCTATCAAATTGATGTCCAACAAACAAATCCCATTGTGGATTCATATTCACATGGGGACAAATGCATTCAGACTTTGAGCGTATCTGCATTTCCTACAACCAATCCGTTTGCACTAATTATGCCAAGGTCGCCGATCGGGATAAGATCAACTCACAGCGTACGACTTCTCACGCGTACCTGGAGTCTCAAACCACCCCAAATTTTTGGGGCAAAATGTAAAGAATGGCATTCTTTGTCGAAACACCTTTTCTTGAACAAAACACCTTTTTTGGGTTCTGTGCCAAGTAAAGCCCTGAAAGTCCATCAGCGGATTTGTTTAACGGTGTTGTCACGATAAGCGGTGTTCTTTGGGGCTTTGCTGTTCACTGTGCAGGGCTTGCTTGAAAGATGCAAGTGCCAATTCAAGCAGCGGTGCGGACCTTGCTATCACCCAATGTAAAACCTCCTGGTTCAGCTCAGCTGCTCAATGCCTTTGATATTGGAATGAAATAAATCATCAAACATAATTTGACCTTGGCCCAAACGGCTTGAATGCCAACGCAACACAAGGGAAAACAAAAGCCGCGTTATTAGCCTTGCATTTATGTGTGAGACAAACATTTGTGAGTTGCACAAGTTGAGAAGGCTGGCTGCCCCGTTGCGTGTTGCTTAGCATTGGAGCCGATCACTGAGTCGCAACGCATCCAAGTCAGGTGTTTCCTTTGGAAGCGAGCAGGTGGCTTGGTGCACCACAACTCAAACTGATGTTTAGGAGGGCGCTGCGACAATGCAAAGAACCAACATCCCTTAAAACAGGAGTTAGACATTTCGAGTTGTTTCTTCTAGTGTGTGCGGTGTGCTTTGCGCGGCACACATCACAAATGGTTTTTCATGGCAAAACCCGGTCTTCTAGTGGCTTGAAACAGTGTGTCATGCGCAGTTCACCGCATGTTCATGTAATGTCACTCTACTTTCACGACTGTAGAGTCCAAGAAGGTACAATTTCAATGAACAAATATTGTCGCACCAAATTCAGAAGGATACCTTTCGCATGTTTTGTAGCAGCGCGATGGGAGTGATTCCGTACTTGTGCACAGCTCTGTGCCTTTGGGCCATGTGCCCGATATTGCTTCAATCTACAAACAACACAATAAACATTTTACTTAAGCATGATATACAATACTTTGCAAATTCGGGTATGTTCAGTTTCACCATGCCTCCTAGATGATCAAGTTCACATGTTGCTTCAACTCTTCAACTGTGGTTCTCTGGCTAATGCGACTTAGCGCAACATGTACCAGTTGCCCTTAAAGTTGATGCCGTGAAGCAAGCATATTGCTTTTAAGCTTTGCTCACAGCGCTAAACTGCCCCAAGACCCTCACTGTTACAGCCAAAGGGTCCAGTATTTATATGATAACAGGCAAGCTTGCAAGGCATGCTACAGTATTCTGCGAACAATAGCTGTCACTAGCAATTGAATGGTCGTTCAGTAACGTCCACCTAGGATTAAGCATTGCACCTGGAATAAAGACAAATGGGTGGCTCACCAAAAGATGCACCTGGAATAAAGACAAGCACCCGCCACCCCTGCCCAAATGTTCTGAACGAAAAGTATAAGGAACATGACAAAATGGAACAAACAGAGAAAGAAGAGGAGAGGTAGCCAAGCCAACACCTGGTCCTTAGATCTTTGGTACCTTGTTCTTCAGCTCCCCAAAAAATCAAACTGTCCAGCTGCCCAAGAAGTCATGGTTTCTTACATGTCTCTTGTTTAAAAAGGCCCCCAAACTTGAGCCCAAGACTTTATTTCAGGGGACCCTACAATAAAGTCTTGTTGTCTGGCCCCCTGCAAATATACAACTAGCCCAGCGTAACTACCTATGAAGCTTCGGGCTTTGTTGTTAGATTTGGGCCTGCTTCCCAAAATCAAACATGTCCAGCTTCCCCAAGCTCTTGTTTTCTTGCATGTCTCTTGCATAAAAACTGCCTACAACCAAACCCACAAACAACCTAGTACTTCAGAAACTTCACCCCCAATTTGACATTATTTCAGCGGCCTCTGAAATAAAGTCTTGTTGCCTGCCCGCGGCTGCCCGCGTCCAAACAAGTATCAAACGGAAGCTCCAGCAATACAAAATCAAATGGAAACTAAGTTCCAGATCTCAAAAGGAAGCTCCAGCAATGCAAAATCAAATAGCAACTCAATTCCAAATCTCAAAAGGAAGCTTCAATGCTAAATCAAATGGAAACTCAATTTCAGATCTCAAAAGGAAGCTCCAGCAAGGCTAAATCAAATGGAAACTCAATTCCAAATCTCAAAAGGAAGCTCCAGGAATGCTAAATCAAATGGAACCTCACTTCCAAATTTCAAAAGGAAGCTCCAGCAATACTAAGTCAAATGGAAACTCAATTCCAAATCTCTAAATCAATCAGAAACTCAAATACAAATCTCAAAATGAAGCTCCAGCAATACTAAATCAAATGGAAATTCAAGTCTAATTGCCAATACTAAAGCAAGTGGAAGCAACATTGAACGGGATCTCGAGAGATTATTCTAGGCACCCCCTTTGTTGGGGTGGGGGAGGCCCCCCCCTTTACTAATCCCAGGTGGACATTACTCCGAACAAAGACCATTTACAGGACATTGCTCCGAACATAGTTCGGATAGGTGGACAGGGTCCGGGCGGGCGGACGCGTCCGGACGCGTCCGGACGAGAAAAACATACAAAAAACCTTTTTCTATCCAAAACACCTTTTTTTGTTTTGGGCGTCCAGCGGGGCGTCCGAAAAGGCGTATTTAGGCGTCCAAAAGGCGTATTTAAGCGTCCGTCCCGGACTAGTCCGAACCAAAACTCCTTTTTTTGAAACAATCACCTTTCTTTTGATAGTCTGGGCCCGTCCGGACCTATCCAGACCCGTCCGGACCCGTCCGGGCCGTCCAACCGGTCCGGCGGACCCTGTCCACCTATCCGGACTATGTTCGGAGTAATGTCCGCCTGGGAGTAGTAAAGGGGGGGCCCTCTCCCCCCCAACAAAGGGGGTGCCTAGAATAATCTCTTGAGATCCAGTTCAATGTTGCTTCCATTTGCTTTAGTATTGGTAGGCTTAAGTTTCCATTTAATTTAGTATTGCTGGAGCTTCCTTTTGAGATTTGTATTTGAGTTTCTGATTGATTTACAAATTTGGAATTGAGTTTCCATTTGTTAGTATTGCTGGAGCTTCCTTTTGAGATTTGGAAAGGAGTTTCCATATGATTTAGAGATTTGGAATTGAGTTTCCATTTGACTTAGTATTGCTGGAGCTTCCTTTTGAGATTTGGAAATTAGTTTCCATTTGATTTAGCATTCCTGGAGCTTCCTTTTGAGATTTGGAATTGAGTTTCCATTTGATTTAGCCTTGCTGGAGCTTCCTTTTGAGATCTGAAATTGAGTTTCCATTTGATTTAGCATTGAAGCTTCCTTTTGAGATTTGGAATTGAGTTGCTATTTGATTTTGCATTGCTGGAGCTTCCTTTTGAGATCTGGAACTTAGTTTCCATTTGATTTTGTATTGCTGGAGCTTCCGTTTGATACTTGTTTGGACGCGGGCAGCCGCGGGCAGGCAACAAGACTTTATTTCAGAGGCCGCTGAAATAATGTCAAATTGGGGGTGAAGTTTCTGAAGTACTAGGTTGTTTGTGGGTTTGGTTGTAGGCAGTTTTTATACAAGAGACATGCAAGAAAACAAGAGCTTGGGGAAGCTGGACATGTTTGATTTTGGGAAGCAGGCCCAAATCTAACAACAAAGCCCGAAGCTTCATAGGTAGTTACGCTGGGCTAGTTGTATGTTTGCAGGGGGCCAGACAACAAGACTTTATTGTAGGGTCCCCTGAAATAAAGTCTTGGGCTCAAGTTTGGGGGCCTTTTTAAACAAGAGACATGTAAGAAACCATGACTTCTTGGGCAGCTGGACAGTTTGATTTTTGGGGAGCTGAAGAACAAGGTACCAAAGATCTAAGGACCAGATGTTGGCTTGGCTACCTCTCCTCTTCTTTCTCTGTTTGTTCCATTTTGTCATGTTCCTTATACTTTTCGTTCAGAACATTTGGGCGGGGGTGGCGGGTGCTTGTCTTTATTCCAGGTGCATTTTTTGGGGGGCCACCTGTTTGTCTTTATTCCAGGTGCAATGTTTATTCCTAGGTGGACGTTACGGAACGACCATTCAATTGCCAGTGGCAGCTATTGTTCGCAGAATACTGAGCTTACGGAACGACCATTCAATTGCTAGTGACAGCTACTGTTCGCAGAATAGCAGGTGTTGCAAGCTTGCCTGCTATCATACAAAGACTGGACCCTTTGGCTGTATGCTTGCTTCAGGACATCAACTTTAAGGGCAACTGGTACATGTTGCGCTGAGTCTCATTAGCCAGAGAACCACCGTTGAAGCAACATGTGAACTTGATCATCTAGGAGGCATGGTGAAATAGAACATACCCGAATGTGCAAAGTATTGTACATCATGCTTAATTAAGATGTTTCTTTTGTTGTTTGTAGATTGAAACAACTTTGGGCACATGGCCCAAGGGCACAGAGCTGTGGACAAATGCGGAATCACTCCCATCGCGCTGCTACAAAATCTGCGAAAGCTATCCTTCTCAACTTGTTGCGACAGTATTTGTTCATTGAACTTATACCTTCTTGGACTCTACTGTCGTGAAAGTAGAGTGACATTACATGAACATGCGGTGAACTGCGCATGGCAGACTGTTTCAAGCCATTAGAAGACCGGGTTTTGCCATGAAACACCGTTTGTGATGTGTGCCGCGCAAAGACCGCACACACTAGAAGAAACAACTCGAAATGTCTAACTCCTGTTTTAAGGGATGTTGGTTCTTTGCATTGTCGCAGCGCCCTCCTAAACATCAGTTTGAGTTGTGGTGCACCAAGCCACCTGCTCGCTTCCAAAGGAAACACCTGACTTGGATGCTTTGCGACTCAGTGATCGGCTCCAACACTAGGCAGCACGCAACGGAGCAGCCTTCTTAACTTGTGCAACTCACAAATGCTTTTCTCACACAAAAATGAAAGGCTAATAACGCGGCTTTTGTTTTCCCTTGTGTTGTGTTGGATTGGGCCAATGTCAAATTATGTTTGATGATTGATTTCATTCCAATATCAAAGGCATTGAGCAGCTGAGCTGAACCTGGAGGTTTGACATTGGGTGACAGCAAGGTCCGCGCCGCTGCTTGACTTGGCACTTGTATCTTTCAAGCAAGCCCTGCGCAGTGAACAACAACGTTGTTAATTCAAACAAGTAAAACACACCGCTAGCAAAATTGCAGGGTTGACAACGCAGCGCATGGAAAAACGAAAACACCCAAACATGGAACTAACACCCCTAAAAATGACAAAACACCCCAAAAATGAATGCAACACAGCACCACCCCAAAAACGAAGGGTGATTGAGGGTCCAGGTAGATGCTTTCCGGTTGGAGAACTGTAGCCAGTGCTAATTCTTGCCAGGGAGCCTTCTGTGATTGTGGAAAGCCAGCACGACAGGCCCATTTGCCTGAAGGGTAGTGGGCTCAGCGTTGCGTGCCAAACGGAAGCAAAAGCTTGGATAACTACATATGAAGGCACTGGGCCAGTTTTGGCACCTTCCTGCACAGGGTATCAAGCTTGACATCCGATATCCTTGTGAGGCTCAAGTTGTGACAAGGTGAGCCGGGCGATGTTCAGATGAATGCCCTTGCTTTGCAGCTTCATTGAAAGAAGCATGTTTGGCTGCTAGGCATTCTGGTTAACTTGCAACTTCCGCCTTTTTGCCGGGGGTCGAAGGGGCTATGATTGCAATTGCATGACTGCATTTTAAGTCATCTCACCTTTTAACCTTTTTCCCTTGAAGAACGGCAATGAGGAGTCATGTGTTGGGCTCATTCCAGAGTTTCACTTCCAAAAGTGATGTTTGCTTGTCGCACGGTCAAAAACAAGTAGTATACTTAGCTCGCACCCACATCGCCTTGGATTGCTTCGAAGGTGCCGCTTGGCGCCCAAAGGCGTTTGCTTCTTTGGCTTGCTGGTGCGAAGGTAGGGAATGCCCGAGTCTGGTGTTGGGAATGAACCGTTTTGGGAGTCGCAAACAAGCGAAAACAAATCGGGGATGGTTCTTCCTGGCTCATTCCATTTCTCATTCCCTGCCTATCGAACCAAATTGATGGGTTGGAAAGGGCACCTTTTTGCCGGGGTGACTGGGAAACTGAGCCTTTGCAAGCATTCTTACATAGCAGCCAGCGTCATATTTTTTTGGGTGGGAGCTGGCAGGTGGGTGTTCGTGACAAGCACCTATTCAGCACGAGAATTCGTTGCTTGGGCCAACAAGCCCAGGAAGAGAGATGGGTGTGTCCTTTTCCGAGGGAGCCCCATTTGGCTTGACACCAAAAGGAAAACCTTCTTTTGAGGGGGGGCCTTAGAAGGAGACCCACCCAGCTGCTTCTGAGGTTCTGCCCTTCTTCCATTTGGGGCTGTCCTTTTCGGGTATATCCTTTGGGTTGGGGTTTTAAAGGAAACCAAAAGGAAACCACCCATTTGGGGCGTTGCCCTAGAGACAAACCCACCTTTGTGGCAAGAATAGGTGAGTTTGAAGGCTTTTTTGGGGCATAGTGGCATCCGATGTGCGAGAGCTGTCAGGCCGCCTTCCTGGAATGGTGGGGTTTGCTCCCGAGCCTTGCCATGCTGCGGTGCATGCAGCAGGAGCGTTGTGAGACCACCACCGAAGCTGGCGCTCCGTTGGTTTCCCTTCAAACAGCCCCAGGGGCTCCCGAAACCAAAACACACGCACGCACGCACGGACGGACGATGGACACTTGACATTCGTTGCTCACCACTCACGGCAGGAGTTGGAGCTCCACCGAGCAGGGAGGGCTCAGCACGGGGTCCAAGAGACATGGCGCCTGAATCTGCCGGGCGTTCCTATGGGCCGCTGACAGGGGTCTCCTCCCTGGACTAAATGACTGTGGCACAAAATGGTACCCACAATTGCACCTCAAGAACATTGAATCAAGACTCAAACCTGCGTAACCCTGGCTCGTATTTGTTCAGCCACACCCAAATATGGAGCAGAACCTGAACATGATGTTGATGGTGTCTCCTTTTCCATTTCAGGGTTTCCACAAACGGTTTCGCATTGCAACTGTACCATGCAATGCTGGTTTATTTGTAGGTTCCATATCCAACATGGTTACAAAGGTTTATACATACATACCTAGAACTTCTTTACATACAAAAGATACATATACACACTTATAAAACACACAAGAGGCCAACTAGTTAGCCTTAGGTTCAAGCATCGTAGTTTAACCCCTATGGCCCACATAGGCTGTTCTGATCATGGCTATGTGCAAGTGACAAGTTCAATGGGCTTTTCATCCTCGGTCAAGGCTCCAAAAGATGTTTCCATGTGTTGCTTCTCTTCCAGTGGTGCCAAATAAGCGGGGGAATTTCAGGTACGCGAGTCGAGGTGATGTAGCTCTCCCCAGTTGTTTGATTTCAGAGCACCCGCCACTACAAGATGTTTGCAAAGGGGAGCATGTGTTGGGATACTACTTGGCTTCATACAATTTATAGGAAGCCCTACATAAGCCCTTATAGCGATGTTGGTAGAACCAAAGTCACTACCTGAGCATTGCCAGTTGATGCAATGCGTCTCCTGAAAAGCAGGGTTGCTCCGAACCTCCATATGGGTCTGTTGTCTTTGAGGGTGTCCCCAAAAAAAGGTTGTTTTGCAGTGGGCTTCCCTTAAAACCACCAAAAACGGGTACCAACTCGGAAAAAAGGACACACCCACATGGGGATTGCCCAAGCCTTCGAAGCCAACCTTCAAAGGTCCCGTCCATAGTCGTCTTTGAGGCAACCCTCAGCTTTTCTCAGCTTTGGAGGCGTGAGGTTTTTGCAAGAAGCCACGTTTTTGGGGTGGCAAAGGGCGACGGCAACCAAAAGGAAACCACCCATGGTGTACCGAGTTGAGATCCAGCGGAAGAACCATCAAATACAGATCCAGACGTTTCCAATGATCCAACATGAGTTGCTTTCTCTGAGAACAGAAATCAAGAAAATACCCAGTGGATCCCAGTTGCCCAAGTTTAAATAGTAGGTAACCAGATAGTTTCCGTGTGGTTGTTGGGGCTGGTTCGCTCGGTTACCTACCATACAGGCAAGCGGCCGCGAAAGTCAAAGATCTTATAGAAATTTGCCAGTTTTCAGAACCGCATACATAAGCCGTATATCTAAGGGTGGAAGTACATACCCCTTGTTCTACCCCTTTTTTTCCGTGGTTTCCAACCCACTTTTGGGGAGAGGGGTATGAACATCAGGCCTTTTGTCTAAGGGGCACTCCGCGAAGCGGAGTCGGGAAGGCTGGTGCGGCAGTACTCGGAGCTCAAGGAGTTTCGGTTTGCCGATCGGGTCCCCGTTGGGACCCTCACCGCAAAAAAGGCTACCTGAGCCCTCACAATTCCGTCAAACAAAGGTTATTGCCACAACATTATGGTTGGTGAAATTGTCTCTTTATGAGTAGCTTGAGGGCCAGGTATTTGTTTCATCAGGGTGCACTGGTTACTGGTTACAGCTGACCTTTTGTAGTTCCATGGGTTCCCATTGTGGCTCACTAAAGCGAATCGGCTTCTTGATCTGACCTTTTTCCCGAAAGCATCGCGAAGGGTTCTTCCGTGCGGAGCCCTTGGACAAGTTACATAGAGCCAAGTTACATAGAGCCAAGTTACATAGAGCCAAGTTACATAGAGCCAAGTTACATAGAGCCAAGTTACATAGAGCCAAGTTACATAGAGCCAAGTTACATAGAGCCAAGTTACATAGAGCCAAGTTACATAGAGCCAAGTTACATAGAGCCAAGTTACATAGAGCCAAGTTACATAGAGCCAAGTTACATAGAGCCAAGTTACATAGAGCCAAGTTACATAGAGCCAAGTTACATAGAGCCAAGTTACATAGAGCCAAGTTACATAGAGCCAAGTTACATAGAGCCAAGTTACATAGAGCCAAGTTACATAGAGCCAAGTTACATAGAGCCAAGTTACATAGAGCCAAGTTACATAGAGCCAAGTTACATAGAGCCAAGTTACATAGAGCCAAGTTACATAGAGCCAAGTTACATAGAGCCAAGTTACATAGAGCCAAGTTACATAGAGCCAAGTTACATAGAGCCAAGTTACATAGAGCCAAGTTACATAGAGCCAAGTTACATAGAGCCAAGTTACATAGAGCCAAGTTACATAGAGCCAAGTTACATAGAGCCAAGTTACATAGAGCCAAGTTACATAGAGCCAAGTTACATAGAGCCAAGTTACATAGAGCCAAGTTACATAGAGCCAAGTTACATAGAGCCAAGTTACATAGAGCCAAGTTACATAGAGCCAAGTTACATAGAGCCAAGGTTAGGTAGAGCTTAGAGCTTCGGCGTTAGCAGCTATGTAAGTTAGTTTAGGTTTCTAAGGCGCCGGGGCGGGAGTTTGATCGTCGCTCGGGATTGCGACCCTCTGCGGAGATTCGCGTGGTCGAGGTTCAAAAACTGAGGACTTTTTACGATTTTTAGCATGCGCGCGCGACCCTCTGCGGAGATTCGCGTGGTCGAGGTTCAAAAACTGAGGACTTTTTACGATTTTTAGCATGCCGCGCGACCCTCTGCGGAGATTCGCGTGGTCGAGGTTCAAAAACTGAGGACTTTTTACGATTTCTGCTGGCGCGCGCGACCCTCTGCGGAGATTCGCGTGGTCGAGGTTCAAAAACTGAGGACTTTTTACGATTTCTGCTGGCCGCGCGCGACCCTCTGCGGAGATTCGCGTGGTCGAGGTTCAAAAACTGAGGACTTTTTACGATTTCTTAGCATGCGCGCGCGACCCTCTGCGGAGATTCGCGTGGTCGAGGTTCAAAAACTGAGGACTTTTTACGATTTCTGCTGGCCGCGCGCGACCCTCTGCGGAGATCGTGCGCGTCGAAGCGCTCTCGCTGTGGCGCCGTGCGAATTTGTCTTAGTCTCGGCGAACCCTCTGCGGAGATTGTGCGTGTCGAAGCGCTCTCGCTGTGGCGCCGTGCAATATTCTTGCTCGCGAAACGGCCTTTGGAAGTTGTCTCGTGGTTTGCGCGCCTGCTTTCGCAATCCCGCGGTCGCGGGTTCGATTCCCCCCTGGTCCGCGGCAGCTCCGGCTTGAAAATCGCAGCTTTTAAGTACAAACGTAGTACGCGGAGCGTGCTCCTGCAGCTCCGGCTGGAAAATCGTAACTTTTAAGTACAGACGTAGTGTGCGGAGCGTGCTCCCGCAGCTCAGGCTGGAAAATCGCAACTTTTAAGTACAAACGTAGTACGCGGAGCACACCCCCGCAGCTCCGGATTGAAAATCGCAACTTTTAAGTGCAAACGCAGTACGCGGAGCGTGCTCCTGCAGCTCCGGGTGGAAAATCGCAATTTTTAAGTACAGACGTAGTATGCAGAGCGTGCTCCCGCAGCTCAGGCTGGAAAATCGCAACTTTTAAGTACAGACGTAGCACGCGGAGCACAGCCCCGCAGCTCAGGCTGGAGAATCGCAACTTTTAAGTACAAACGTAGTACGCGGAGCACACCCCCGCAGCTCCGGCAGCACTTGCGCAGAGCAACTTGCGCAGAGTCACTTGCGCAGAGCAACTTGCGCAGAGCAACTTGCACAGAGCAATTGCACAAAGCACTTGCGCAGAGCAACTTGCACAGACCAACTTGCACAGAGCACATGCGCAAAGCGCTTGCACGGAGCAACTGGCGCAGAGCCCTTGCGCAGAGCAACTTGCTCAGAGCACTTGCGCAGAGCAACTTGCACAGAGCAGGCGCAGAGCAACTTGCACAGACCAACTTGCGCAGAGCACATGCGCAAAGCGCTTGCGCGGAGCAACTGGCGCAGAGCACTTGCGCAGAGCAACTTGCTCAGAGCACTTGCGCAGAGCAACTTGCACAGAGCACTTGCGCGCAGCAGCTTGCAGAGAGCAACTTGCGCGCAGCAGCCTGGAACAATGCAGCTTGCGCAGACCACTTTCGTGAGAAATCGCGCGGCGCAGTTCGAGAGGAAAGTAGGATGATGAGATGGAGCTCTCATGTGACCATACACACTGAGCATCGCCGCGCGCAGACACGCTCGCCGCAGCGATGTAAAAAGGTGTCTCCGCGGCTGGATGAGCACCTGTGGAAAAATGCTTTCGGGCCAATCGTCCTCTAGTGTTTTCCCCCCTCCTTTTGGTCTATTTTTAGTCAGGGTTCCTAAAAGGTGATCACCTTTTATTTCCACCACACCGGTACATGTAGTCCGGAATCTCTTTGAAGCTTCACCGAGGGACCAAGAAATCTGAGAGCTCACAGGCCAAACGCTGAAACGGAAATCATGAAGATAGCCCTTGGAAGCCCTTTCGGTGCCCGTTTTTTATCGGCAACTTCGATCAGTTTCGTGCAACTGATGCAATAATTGTCTCAACACTTATACAGTACGGACATGGAGGAACTCGCGACGACGTTCCCACAAAATCCCACAGACCGTGCCTGCGTCCGAGTGAGCCAGAATCGAAACCTAGAAGGTACGGTAGCGGGATGGGCCCCTGGCCATGAATCGGGGGCCTTTTAGTTGGTTTCCTCGACCCTCAAACTATCCATAAAACAGGGGAACTCACACCACAATGTTGGGAAGCAAAAATGATCCAAGCCAGCACCGATGCAGGTTCCAACGTGGACAGGGATCGAAGGTATGACTCAAATGCTGGTTCCATGTTTCAGCTTGTGGTTTGGTGGTGCCGAATCGGTGGGCTTGGTGGTTTTTTGCCAAACCGGTGCAGTGATTGGCGCACTCTTTTGCCATTTCCAGGAGAGGAAGCAGGCCGCAGCTTCAGAGAACGCGGCCCTGAGGTGGTTTGGTCTGCCCTTTTGCCCGGTTTTTGGAGGTCTGAGGTGCTTACAGGGTTCCTTTCGAATTTGGGCTGGCTGCAACAGAGACACGCCGCGTAGGAGCAATTGGAGAGAAGAGCCTTGAGGTGCTGTGGGAGTTTGGGAGAGCTGGGAATAAACCCATTGGACGGTGAGGCTGTTCGCAGACGTGTTGCCAGTGGCAGAACTAATGTGTTTTGCTGAGATGATTCTACTCGCTCTTATCCTGGGTGATGTAGCAGCAAGAAAGACAAGACTCCTCGCGTTCGATGAGGACTGGCGTGATTTGTTTTGATTGTTGTTTGGGGTTATCAAAGTCAGAAACTGGGGGTGTTTCCCTATGACCTACACCTAGGGAGTGACTTTGATAGTGGTAAACCAATCGAGCCAGTGAGGAACCCTGCGTGTCCAATGGCCGTCATGTTTCCGCAGGTCAGAGCTTTCGGCGACATGTCGACCCGAGGATTTTCAACTTGGTGGATCAAGGCAGTGTTTCTGCCAGCGATGGGAAGCCCCAAACTGTTACTCGCCCGTATGAATTCACCGGGTGAGGAACTTCCATCTTCAGAATGTTTTCTATTTGGTTGAGGGAATCGAGCTTGAAAAGTGTTCAGCCCTGAATTGGTGATTTGGATTGGTCGTTTGATGTTTTAACCTCTATTTCTTGCAAAGGGTACTCTCCTGTCCAACCCGTACTCTGTCCACTAACCCACCCGAGGGTTCCTTAGGAAACATTTTCCAGAACCGATTAGTCAGGTTCCATGTTAATGGACAGGAGGGTAAATGGGGTTTCCCACCCCAACCCCAAACCACCAGTTTCTCAACGTGTCTGGTCGCCTTCGTGCGAAATGTAGGCACGAAACTGTGGATGGCTAAGAAATCAATGTTGCTTGATTGAAACCATAGCTGAAACCATAGCGTTTGTTGGTATTGACAGGGGAATCATCATTCCAGGGTTTCTTAGGCGGTGCAGGATTTCGTCCAACCACAGTAGGTGTCCTTTTTGGTTGTTGTGGTAGAACATAGATGGCCCTGGTTGACCTTTGATTTCATATTCTACCAGAGCGAAGCCTTTCGGACGGCGTTTGTTCACGCCGAAGCTGACAGTAGGGCCACGGTTCTCTTGTTTTGGTGATTCGTGTGTGGCGATTTATGGGCGCGTGATTCTTGTGGTTACCTTCTTTTTGTGATTTTAAGTGGACACCAACTGGAAAACCACCATTTGTGTGTGGGTCAAACCTAAAAAAGACAGCCTTCTGATGGCCGAAACTGAGTTGTTTCCTCTCAGCTTGGAATCGGATCTCGTGCAAAGTGACTTTGTCCAACTCGTGGGCCTTGCATGGGAGATCCTTCCTTTTAGCTCTTTGTTCATATGAATCATGTGGCGAGTGCAAGAGGCGCGGTGGCATTTTCCTGGGCTCATACGCACCCGCCACCGTAGATTCGATTGCTTTGTAGAACTCTGTGATGTCTGGAGTCCAGAAGCAGAGTTCGGATGGCCATGACCGTGGTTCTCAAAGATGGAACTATGCACACATTGCAGGAACGTTGTGAAAAATCAGCGGAGTTCATCCCTAAAATCAAAAACCCTTGAGATTCGGTTTGTTCCAAACTCAGCGGCTTGGTAAGAACCTCTGGCGCCTTGAAAGGTGAGTGAGAGGTGGTTTCCTGCAAGCCAACAAGTCCAGTCAAATAGGCGTTGCCGGGGCACCCTGGTCTTTAAACATCTTTAAACCCTGCTGTTTGGGTGCTCGATTAGCCAAGTTAGTAAGTGGTTAGCCACTTAGGGTTTCACGAACCCCACTCAAGAGGACTTGTAAGTGGGTTACAACTTAGGTGATCAACAGCTTACTACCTTGGCCGAACACTCAAGTACCCTGGGTGTTTCTTTTGGGCGGATTTGACAATTTGGGGTAAGGGAAGTTGGACTTGCTGGGCAGCAGAAGGAAACGACCATTCGGCTTCCGAATTGAGTGCGCAAACTGCAGGAGCCTTTCCAGGTCATTCATGCGAGGGTAATTGACCCAAAGACTCCGCGAACAGCTTTTGCATATACAACATGTACTTGGGGTTTCAACAGGACTGGGGCTTTCTGGCATTCCTAAAGGGGCCAAGCCGTCAACTTCAAGAAGCGTTGTCGTGGACTGTGTGCTTGTTGTTTTCGACGTGGACCAAAGACGCTGCCCAGGTGACATTTCACGTTCCCGAGCCATCGAGCCGGGGCCGTTTGCATTGGCCGAGCATCGCAGAAAGCCGGAGTCATGTGGGTGCTAGATAGTTGAAGTTACCCAACTGGAAGCCAAAAGGGGATGTGTGCGTGTTCGTTTTGTTTTCTTCTCCTAGACCTATGTGGCACCTGGCTTGTGATGAGACCAAAGGCAGGTCATATGAGACCAAAAGCTAACGAGCGTAGACGAGCTTGGCCAATCCGAAGCGGGCAAGAAGCCTTGTACATAGGGTCATGGAGGATTTTGATCCTTCAGATCAATCTGGGGAGCTAAAACAGGGGCTGCCTGGTCCCCAAATCAAAAGTGGACCGATTGACTGCTGGTTTCCATTTGAGGCTCCCTTATGGCTCGGAAACCGTGAGACCTTGCCTTTCCTGGGGCCAGACTGACAGCAACCTGCAGCCAAGTTGTCTAGGTCTCTAGAGACCAATTTGGAACTCGCCGGGCCGAGCCCAAGCGTTCCCGTGTCCAAGCTGTGTCGCAACAGACTGACCATGCAGGTCTTACCACGGATTTAAAGGTATTCTGTGAAGGGTGGCTTCTATATTTTAATGAGCATTTGAACGTTTGTCATATAGCTAATTCAAGTTCCTGTCATTTCTATTATTATGACTATTACGCTTGTGTACTTCCCCCTTATTGCTGAGATCCTTTGGGTGCAAGAAGCTGCCCAAAAGTGAGGGAGCCTTTTTTGGAGGGGCTTGAAGGGAGCCCAGTGGATCCATTGTCCTGTAGTGAGGAACCAAGGGAAGCAACATTTCAAAACCAAAACCTACTACCTAGAGTCTCCATGACCCTTAACAAGTGCGTCCAGGACCCCTTAATTTTGGGTAATGACCCATTTTTTAGGGTTATGGAGACTCCAGGTACAAGGATATATAACTGGGATTGGACACGACAGGGAAACCGCTCATTTTCAGATTTTCTGTGGAACCTTGTCCACGGGTCTGCCAGGCGAGAGGCGGGGAGAGAACTCTTTTCGCGCGCGGATCGGGGAAAAACCGCTTGCCTTTTTTTCGAGACCCACTGTCGGCGGCCCCAAAGGGTATACCGCTACCAGCGCCCGGGGCCACAGCAGCCACTGCTTGGTGGGAATCCGTTCCAAGGGAATTTTGGACCTGGTTGGAAGCGCAGTTGCAAGTTGGGGGGTGCTGGTCTCGGAATATTTCGGAAGTTCTTCGGAGCGAAGAGGTTAGTCGAGGTAAATGTCCCGTTGCCACTTTACTCAGCACCCTCAATAGGTGGTTCTCTTGAGATAAACTGGCCCCGAATACAAAAGGACAGGGGCACTGGGGGGAGAACGGAACTATGCTGGGGCTAGTTGATGAATGATGTGAATTCCTGTTTGTCAATGCTGCGATTTGACTTTGTGCAACTATTTCGGCGTGTCAGTTGTGGAGTTGGTACCCATTTGCTTGGTGGTCTTAACGGGAAAAAACAAGGAACGCCGTTTGCCCCCCTTTTGGGGGTTCCCTAAAAAAGACGAGCCACCCATGTGGCACAGGCGATGGCATTTCATGCTTGTTGTCAGAAAGCGTTCCTGGTGGGTTCTTTGGGGAAGCCTTCGGCGAGCTGTTGGGGACTGTCCGATCAGAAGCCTTAAGGCTCCTAAACTCCCGTCCTGAGTTTGAGAGAAGCGGCCAATCGATGGTGACTACTGAAACCCCGGGGCTCAATCCATTCTTGGCTGCTTGGTTGGACCCTTATAACCTTCTCACTTCCAGAGTTCGACTTGAGTCACTGTTTGGGTTTGGACCATTTGGTGGCATACGAGAAGTTTGGTCACTTTTGCCCATCCACTAAAAAAGTTAGTGAATGAGAGCTTTTCTGCGGTGGGGGGGGGGGGGGCTGGATTGCTCCGAACTAAAATTTCCGTTTGCGTGTGCGACGGCCTGTGCAATGATGTGTTTGTTTGAGCTAGTTTTACTCAGGTAACGCTTAGTTGGTGGTTTGGATTGGGGGTTTGGATTCGGAGTTCAACCCCTGCTTCTTGCAGAGGGCTGATTTACACGGCTGTCGTTTCAACACCCGTTTCAAGAAGCGGCGCAAACCGATAGCCACAGTTCTTCCGAGGAGGTTGGGGAGCTGAGTGGTGTGTCACATGTAAGAGGCAAACAGGATGTGTCAGTTGTTTTCTATTATTATTTTACCTTTGTGTATTTGTGTTTATCTTTTTGGGGGCTTTGCTCTTTTTTTGTTGGGGGGATGCATTTTTGATAGAATCCCAAAGATGTTGTCTTCTTCCTGCTTCGACTCGCCCTTCTTCTCGGGCTGCACAAGATGTGCCGTACGTTGAATCCGTCGGCTCGAAGCGATCTTCGGGTGTCATCTAATGGATGCGCTGGCCAAAGCTCGGCCCGGAACTCGGAGAGTTGGAGCGGAGTGGCTTCCAGAGATTTTGCCCTAGGTCCCTCAGTAGTGCCCTTTCACCAACTTTTGTTGAGGAAGGGTTCCCCGTACTAAAATAGACCACAGAAAAAAGAAAGGGTACCCTTATTCTAACCTCTACTGGACCTGGGTGGTTTGGTCGGGTTTCCGAATCGCCACTAGTGAGTAACTTTTGGCAGGGGATCAGCTTGGGCAGCCCAGTACTGTCGGAGTAATTTGGAGGGCATACTAATCAGGGGCGGTTCCCTTGTTTGCAGGAAATCATCTAGGGGATTCCTTGGACAACAAGGTCCAGATAACTCCAAAATTGACATGAACCAAGGTTACACCGAGTTTGATGAGTTTGAGCGCTCGCATGGCTCGTCGAAATCTCCAGTGTGGACATTTTGAGTATGGTCCTTGTGTGGGAGACGGGGGAATCCTTTTTGTCTCCCAAGACCAAGCCAGGGAAATGTGGGAACCCATGTCCATAGCGTGTGCAACACATGTTGACCGCGCACAGGCTTTCCGCAGGTTAGGGCCCAAAAAGTATCCATGATATTGTTTCGCAATACACTGTTCTGGGTGGAATATAAGCCACACACCATACAGTGCGTCCAAACTTCGTTGCAAGGTCATTTGAAATTTGACCTGAGAAGGATCGGTAGCGTTTTGCAGCTCCTGTTTAGTGGTTTGGGGGTTTGATTTCCTGTTTAACCTATTATGATGTATTGTGATATTGTGATTTGTGCTGCTGGTGAATTGATGCCTCCTCTGTGTGATCCCTGAATCGTTGACCTTATGGGACACAAGCCTCACCTTAGTGAAATCTGTCAGATTCCTGCTTCCGGCAGCAGCGTCCGAGTTGTATCACATCTATCACTCTTCACCATGCACACGCAGGAAGCGAAGAGGGTGATCTTTGGCAATGTATACCCCTTAGGTGCGCCCCTTTTGTACTGCTTCCATATCACTTATTTATCACTTCCGTTCCGTCCCCTTGCACACCCCGTACATACCCCGCACTATGTACATATATATATATACACACTGTATCCCTTATACAGTTTTCCAAACACCTGAAGAAGCCAACATTCAGGGATAACCTTACCTCAGCCCAAAGCAAATTTGTCGCACCTTTCGAAGTCCAGTCTTGGCGCTCACCAAGGCGATGTGATGCACCCTGGCCCTGATGAAGAGCCTAGGCGCACACCGTTCAGTGGGTTTCACCCGTTTTTATCGCTTTTTCGCGAAGGGAACCCCGGTTTTTACAACTCACTCCCTAAGCTCATGAACTTTAGTCATTTTTTGGGTTTGGACCATGTTAGGGGGACTCAAAAAGTTTGTTTGCTTTTTGTTGACCCATCCGCTCAGGATTGGTCAATCTCAACAAGGGTTCAACTTTTCTACCATCACTGAGCAACTGGGTTTGAGTTGACACACTTGAAACTTTGGTAGGTAGGTGTCCTCACAATATTCGTACATGCCCGAAGATCAAGCTGCATTTGACGAGTGAACTCAGCAGGTTACTTTATGGACGTTGGATCTTTGGACTTCAAACTTTTTCAGAAACAGCGGATGTTCCATTGGACCCACGAAAAGTTCAGCTTTTTGCAATGGGGTCAACAGCTAACGTCCGAGCTGCCTTTTGGTCAGGCCATTAGTCGTAAAGCCTCGGGGCGGGGAATGGAAGCTCAAAACGCCGGGAAGTGGTGGTGCCGGAGGCAGAGCTGAGTTCGCGGGAGAAGTTTATGATGCCAAAGACCAAAACCAGTGGTCATCACAGTTGGAGAGGACTTGATTGCCAGGCCTTGCAATTGCAGTGAAGTTTTGTGATTTGTTTTGCCATCAAGCCAAAATCCAAGTCTTTGTTCCAGTCCGATGGCACAGCGTATGGTTTGTATGGCCTGTCTTTGAGTTCGCCGATGAGTGGAGGAGCCAGGAACACCAACAAGAGCATTATATAGGGAGTAGGAATGTACCGCCTTCAATGAACACAAGGTGCGTGTCGATACCTCGTCGCTGCAGGCAGTTGTGATCCCAGGCGTTGAGTAAGAGTTGGATAAGTTCCTGCTGTTGGTTGAGCGCGACACGCATGGGATTGGAGTCTCAAAAGGGGAGGCTGAAATTTATGGCCCGAGGGACAGTGCCTTTGGCCATGTAACCCGGGTTCTGCTCCAAGACAACGTTGTTCAGCTTCTTCAATTATGGTGGTTTGCAGGAGGAGGTGGCTTCCGATTTACCCTCTACAAAGGGTTCAACCCACCGAAGCAAACCACAAATTATGAGTAAGCCAAGCAAACATTCCCGCCACGAAGAATAGCTACGTGAGTCGTTGCGATGTGTCATCCCTCCAAACGGGCAAAGCATCCACAAAGGGCCCAAACCGGCATCGGGGCCCAAGGCAAACAAGTCCTGCGTTTTACCTCTCACGCCCTTTGCAAGCCACAGGGGCTTGGGCACCAAGGCAAGCAGACCACATGCGTTCCCTTGTGCCACAAGTGACTTGCTTGCCTTCCTGTCCACGTGGCCATGGAACCCACCAGAGGCTCCCTTGTAAATAAAACTAGTCTTCCAGGACACCCCCCAGGAAGGTTCCATGTGGGTGGACAGGAGGGCAATTGCAAATTGATTCCCCTTGAACACACATGGCAAGCTCATCCTTGAAAGGGTTGGTTT